GAAACCTTGGTGAGTGCACAGGAGAAAAGAGCATTCTCTTCACTTTACTATGCCCATCCATCAGTCTTATTCCAGCCTAGATGGAAAAGCAGCATTTGGTAAGAACTGTCCATATACAGTCTCGCCCTTGCTGTAGGTGCTCGAGAAGAAACTCTCTGCAAGTGACATTTGTACCCACAGTGTAATTCACTATAACCTCCATAGACACTGAAGTATTTTTTCCCCAACAAAAACAAAGTGAAAGCTTAAGCAATGAAATTTCCCTTTTTTTACAAATTATGTACTAATACATTGCTATGCTGCCATCAAGAACAATCAAAATATGCAAGTATATCTGCACATGATGATCAAGGTAATATGGCTGTTAAAATTTAGATATTAATCTTTTTTCCCATGTAATTCATACAAGTCAGGGGAAAATCCACACCTTTCGAAATACTTACATTAAGTTTTTGAGCCTCAGTCCAGCAAACACCTGTTTGCAATGATGGAATTGTCCCATTGATTTTAGTTATACACATTAAACATCTTTTGTTGAATTGGAAACTTGGACTTGTAAATTAAAAATCCCTTTCAGTGGTTATCAAATAGCTCTTGGATGTGGCCATTCTTTGGAGAATGGATCAGATAAAGATAATCACTTGCTCTGGGGAAGAAAGTTGCTGGGTTTGCCTGCATCACATGTAATACATGAACCAAGTTAACACCATTCTGATAATGTTTCCAAGATACACTTTGCTAGCACAGGCTTATCTCTGGCTCAAGGCCTAAATATAATTAAGGCTCCAGGGTAGAAATGGAAGAGTTTTCTTTAAGTATTGCAATGGTAACACAGACTGCTAAGCGAATATGAAGGTAGGAATCTTGACAAATATGAAATACAAGAAGTTATCGGGCAATAATGGCGTGTTGTAACCATGTCATGTAGCTTGTTTGGATAACAGCTCATAGAAGTTTTTACACAGCAAATTCCCTTCCTCAGGAGTCAAACAGAATAAAACTGACTACTGATTAGAATTTGCCATCTTACTTAGAAATCTAAATAAGTTATTGTGAAAAGCACATATGTCAGTTAAAAATAGCCAGGTATGTAATTTTGGGTATCTACCTATTAAAAGTGATGTTATGCTTTATGTTCATTTCATTAAAATTAATATTGGAATTTCATAGGCAGGGAAACCTATGACTGTTCAGGAGAGGCAAAGAAACAAAATTAAATGTAAAGAAACAGTAAAAGGATTTGCGAAATCAATCAGTCAAATGGTTTATGTTAGGATAAACAATTTTGCCCAGTGTGAACTCAAAATGGCAGCTGACTTTAGTTGGCACAAACGTTGTTCTAAACATGTTTCAGGAGCATCAGGTGTTTCCTGTGAAGATTTATTTCCACATGGCAGAATTTCATCTAAATCCCAGCATCATGGGCAAGTATCCTCTGCTCCCTACTCCAACTGCTGAACCATATGTATGATAGGATTTTTCCCTGCAGTGCACTGTAAGATGAATACCAGAAACAACTGCACACCAAGACTTTTACATCCTGAATATATGCAGAATACTTCCTTCTGTCACCCCTTGACCCACTTCACTGACAGAGACACCAAGAAGGGGATTTAACAGAGCTCTACACCACAGTGCTGACTCTTCTGGACTTTATGAAAGTGAGACATGCTATCACAGATGGCTTTGTAAGGTCATTGCCAAGGACACTTCAGAAAATGAGATTTAAATTAAGTTACTTCCATGTTTCCACATAACTTCTGAAAGTCACAGGGTTCATAATGTGTTTGCATACACTCCTAAAAAAATCTTAAAATTAACACAGAATTTTGCCGTAGACAGCTAAGAAAATTTGACATCAATATCTTGAAAGTAGTAGAAAAGAAAATACAAAGCAACCTCAGAATTCCAACTCCTTAATTTTATTTAGCTTTTCTTATGAAGAAGTCCAGAAAATCTGTTTTATTCTATTTACTTAAATGTCCTAGCAGAGAAAAAAATTGATGAAAACTGTGTTATCTAGAGTTTTGTCATCAAATCTGGCTCCAGACAAATCCCTCCAGCTTATCTAGTCCTACTGAAACATTTATTATTGCTCTGAACATGAAAAATGGAATTCCTGATGAAGGGAACTCCCAGGAGAAAGCACTACAAACAGAAAAATCCTAAAAATCCAAAATACAGATTATAACACTGCATAGTAAATTTATAAATTGATAGGGACATTCTCATACTCCAGTGTATTTCATCAGTCCAGGGGAGTTATCTTCTACTACATTTGAATAATTCAGCTTGCAAAACTAACTCAGGGATGATGGCGGAGAGATTATGCCATTTTGAATTATTGGACTGGAGAAGACAGGAATTTACCCAACTGCAGTAGAAAATAATTACTGCTAGTCCATTTAGGATAAAATCCAATTCAAAATCTAAAATTCACAAGAATTTGCAGCTACTACAACTGACCTAACTTCTACAATAAATAAGGTTCTGAATACTGAGTAAACCCGGGTACTAAAAGGTTTCTTGCAAGTAACTATTGCTATTTCATCAGCTACGTTACAATCTGTTAGAACCTGTTTATTATGGGGTTTTCTATGCTATGATTATGCACTCTGCTTGTACTATCACCTGTATTCTGAACTCTGTGTCCTTTATACGTTTTCAGAGATAAATGATTCAGTACTGTTGACCTTCATAGGGTACAGAATAAAAGGGTCATCAAATCACACATAGTACTTACAGTTTGAGGCCAACAGGTCCACTCTTTAATGAATTATTCCAGCTCCAGCAATGTATCAAAAACAATGTTTGCTATTTTTTGTTAAAAACACACCCTTCCTTGGCTACCACAGTTACAGAGTGACTGAAGTGGAGCATGTTTGATGTTTTGATGACAAAGATGAAAACAGTAGGCAGGAAAACAGAAAACAAAAATAGAACTTCAGTTAAAATTCCAGCTTTCATTTCCATTTCACACACTGATCATATTATTGGCCCTCAATGTGTCTTTGCTACTTTTTCCCTCCTTTCTCCTTTCCTTTAATTTTGTGGTCTGATTGCCCAAAGAGCTATTTTTTAACAAGACTTAGTTGTTTCTAGCTTCTCTTTCCAGGAGTCTGTTCTCTAATATTAACAATAACAAGGAAAAGGCAGTGGAGTGTTGTGCTCATAACACACACAGGGTGAGACAGAGGCTGAATGATAAATCCTTGAACTGAAGGAACCCACAAATGTCCGCCCAGGCTTCCTTCTTGGTAACATTATACACTAAATAATACTACTGTTGAGAAATTCCAAATTGTCCCCACTATTATTTAGTTCAAGAGAGACAAATACTTTCAGAGCAGCACCTTGTCTCTGGCACTATTACAGATGTCAGAATGGCAAACTGCCTCACCCAGAAAGGAAACCAGGATCACCGTTAGTGATAGATGAACTGAGGACTTCCAGGGAGTTACTTAAAACATACTGGCATTCTCAATAAAAGCAGTACTTAAAAGTAGAGTACAACTCCATGGGTTTAAAAAAAAAAAAAAAAAAAAGTTTGCAACAATTCCATGACTTTTTTTAATTTCTCTTCGAGGAATTTATGAAGTTTATTTGGTTTTACATTCTCTACTGTTAATCACGAAAGCAAATTCATCAGACTTTTCAACATACAAGGTCTGTATTGTGTGATTTATGGAGAGATCGTATAATTTTCATGACAGAAGTGATCTCCTCATCTCAAAATAAGTATTTTGAGTGATCCTTGTTTCTACTGAATCTTTTTAAGAACACCAAGGAAGGTTCTCTGTTGAAGTAAGTGGGCACAGTACCAAATGTCAGTGTAATCTTTTTCACTTACACCACCAGCCTCAGACAATGGCCTGAGCCATTAACAAGTTGCTACTTAACAGGCTGTTAATTTTAGCAATCATGTTGCATATTAAAGGTCCAGAACAAGGTTTACATGAGATTGAACACAATCATTAAATGGAAAGCCACTGAAAATTACTGAAATTATATAAATCATGCAAATCACTGAAGGCTGGGAGAGGAATCAGAGGTTTTACTACAGCTTCTGCTTATTCTTACAGCCTTCAATTTTGGTCACAGATGCACAGGTCCATGAACTTGCAGCCTGGCACAACAGAGTCATTCATATTTTCTTAAATGACACAGAATGAAAACGTTTTTCCCTTTTATCACCTCAGGAACCATCACTGAATCTCTGATTCAGTAATCTTCAGCATCTTACTCCCTGATCTCCCAAAATACCAGCTTCAGTTCAATTTTTAAAAACGCTGACACTCTCAGTCAGGGTATAAGAGACTCTAAAGAATTTTACCTCTTAAGTTTAAAGCATTTAAAGCTTGCCTTATTGCTTATTTCCATGGTTTGTTTTCAGCCAGTGACCATTTGTAATTAACATACTCATGCCTGTTGTCATTAGGTTAAATAGTTTTACTCTCAGACTACTCGCAGGTTCAAAGTATGTAGAAGGTTTTCTTCTTTCTCAGTTTCTTAGTATGAGACATATTTGTAGAACCAGAAAAGGAAACCCTTGTAAATCTGCATTTGTCAGGCTCCCTCTCCCCTAAGCAGCCATGTATCTAGGGATGTATCTAGGGATGAAGCTACATGCTGAAAAAGGACCTGGGGGTGCTGGTTGACAGCAGCTGAACATGAGCCAGTGTGTGCCCAGGTGGCCAACAAGGCCAATGACATCCTGGCTTGGATCAGTAACAGTGTGGTCATAGGACCAGGGCAGTGACTGTCCCTCTGTCCTAGGCACTGGTGAGGCCACACCTCAAATCCTGTGTCCAGTTTTGGGTCCCTTGCTGAGAAAGACACCGAGGTGCTGGAGCGAGTCCAGAGAAGGGCAATGGAGTTGGTGAAGGGTCTGATGAGGAGCAGCTGAGGGAGTGGGAGTGTTTAGCCTAGAGAAAAGGAGGCTGAGGGAGGACCTTATCTGCAATAGTCCATAGAAGTTTATAAGAGCATTCACATTATTTTATTAATTTCTTGATAATTGCTGTACTTCAGTTTTGTACAGAATTGCTTGACGTAGTGATGCTTGTCCAGAGGAAGGATTTAGTTTCCAGAGAAAGATGTATTTACTGAAGAAGAAGCACATTACCAAAACCTAGATAAAATACAGATTTCATTGATGAGATCTATTTTTATAAAATCTAAAATATTATTGTCTGCAATTCTTAAATTATTTCAGGAAGAGTGCCAACATCATAAAATGCAAGAAACAATAATGAGAATCCCTCTTGCCTCTGTGGTGGCACCGTACATTATTTTTGATGAACGAGGCAGGCTTCCAAAACTTCTTTTCAGAAACCCAAGCCAATACTCGGATTGAATAAAATCACACTTGGCTCAGTGGCAGGCACTTGCAGTCCAGGGAAAAGAGGCTTAAGTTTCCTTTTCCTTTCCCAGGACACTTTTGCTTAATAGCATACACCCAGAGGAACCAGGCTGTTAGCTCACAAAGCCATCTGCTTTTTAATCATCTGTGGGAACCATATGAGCAGCTAAGTGCTATCCTCCTTTAGTCAGCTTCCTAGTCCTGGATTTCTTCAGCTTTTCCTTCAGGAATATATTTAAATCTAAGCAGTTTCCCATATCTGACTTGCCTTTACTTAGCAGTTTAGTAGTTTGAAGGACAGATAGATGAATTTTTTTCTTTTAAAGAAAAGAGCTGCCAATAGTACATGTTAAGATGGTGAGCACAAAATAAACTTGTGATGCTCATGTCAAACAAATGAGAGCAAGAAAAGGCACACCCTACATTTGTTTCTCTCTCTGCCACAAGAAAGGGGAGCCAGAATCTCTTAGAGATGGCAGTAAATGTTATTACTGTGACTTTTTGTCAATTCTTAACTTCAGCTGCTGGTCATTCCCTATTGTTCTCATTTACAGTCTCATTAAGTAGCATAAGGGCATGTGAGCCAAAGAACCACAAAACAGCCACTCAAAATATAGAATACTAATTTTTTTAAATTTGTGGTTAGAGTTCTTTAAAACCACATAGTTCTCCAAAACCACATGGCTTTGATAGACAGTTAATTTACTTAAAAAGTTATGTAGAAGAAAGCATCAGCAGGAACAGCATCTAAGCTATTTTGCTGCACCTCTGCCCTGCAACCTCTGCATGAGCTCACTTTCTGCTCAACAGGAGCACAAGTTTCCAGTGCAGAACTGCCACATCAATTGGAGAGGAGGTATATTTTGCAACACGTGCCAAGAATATAAATAAATAAATTATATGATTTACCTAAATCTTTATTGTTCCTCTACCATTCTGACCTTGCTGAAATCATTAGAAAATGAAATACAAGTCCTTGCTTTCACTTTGTTTTTTATCTTGCTATCTGGTGACATTCAAATAAATTATCTTTTCCATTGTTACAGTTCATTTCACAAAATTTTTGTACTGCCTTTGTCCTTCATTTTTCCTCACATTGGTAAACTTTTAATGTACGTGAAAACAGAGCCTATTTGCTCAGCCCTACATACCTTTAACATATTAACCGAAAAAATCTGAAAACATAACTAAACCTATGGTTTTGTCTACAGATAAGCACAGACTGATTTACAGTGATATATGCATGAAATAAGAAGCTCATGTTAAGTTTCTCAGAAGTGTACCAGGAGCAATGATTCACAAGCCAACAAAAGATAGTAAATATCTATATTTTTTGAAAAGGTGTAAACTAGTTCAGTTCTGAACACCCAGCTACGGTTTCAGTTACACACCATTCTATGGATCTGACCATAAAGTAGGAATGGATGAATTTTAAAGAGCTTAGGGAAAAGCAGAAAAAATACTTTAGAATTATTAAGAATTTCAGTTTGTGAAGAAGAAAAGCTTCAGAACAGTTATGGATAAACTGCATTCTTTTCTTGGGCAAAATTTACATTATTAGCAAGGTTTAAACATAAATAACGTCTCTTTGAATGGTATTACAGTGATGAGTTACAGAAAGCAGTGGCAAATAGCATTACTTACTACTCCAGAATTCCCCAGATGTGCACTCCACACACCTACATTTTCTTTCCTATATTATCCTCAGTGTTCAGACAGGCCTATGGGATATATCCTGATATCCAAACAACACGCAGGTAACTAAGATGCCACATGAATTCTGAGTATTTTCATTTCTCAGCAGTGCCAGGAGCAAGATGAAAAATTCCAGATTAGAGTAATACAGTGAAAGTACACTAAAGGAAGACTGAGGGGACATTAACAGGGGTACACAAAGAAGGCATAATCTGTCTCAGAAAGGGCATTTTCCTTCAGTATCAACAAAATAGCACAAAACCAAATGACTCTTTTACATTTCCAAAATAATACTGCACACCCTAGCAGGAACAGCCATTAAATGGCTCCCTGCTGCTGTGACTGTGAGGGAAATGCATTCTTTCCGTGTTATGTATAGACAATTGGACAGAAGTATTTCTTAAAATAACAGAAAGGTGAAGATATATACTGTTTTTAAGTGTATCCCAGAAACTTGGAATGTCTGCGAACACAAACTAAATTCAGGGCTTACATAAAAGCTTTACCATAGCTCTATATTTCCCTTGAACAAATTTAATGCACATAGGACAGTATTCCAGACCTATTGCTTTGTTACAGTCTTCATCCCTTAGAAAATAAGGAATAGATCCCAGTTCCTGAAAATGGTGAGAGACAATGCTCATTCTGACCATCTAGCTGTGGTCAGCTAAATTAGCACTGAAAAAAGGTCAAGTTTGTGTCATCAATTGTGTATTATAAAATATCATCTGCTCCCACAGACTGATTCAACAATAATTGTATTTGTTTCTCACCCAAATCTATAAGATTTGTCCAGAGGCATTGAAAAAAGGATACAATTTAGGATACACTATAAATTGGAAGGAGAGGAAGCAAGGAGAATTCATCTTACCATGAAATAAAATGGAAAATAAATGAGTCTGAAATAATTCAGATGTAAAAGGTATATGTGATTTTGCTTTTTTTTTTCTTGTGAATGTTTGGGAACTTTCTTCATTTCATTTCAATTATTCTTAAATTTCTGCTGCCATTACTGGCAGTGAGCAAGAAGCTGGTGCATCCAGACTGTCAACAGCTCAGAGCAGCAAGTTCCCAAAAAATCATTTCCAATTCTTAAGTTAAGTCTGGCTGTTACTTAGCTTGATAAAGAGTTTTTTTTCATTTACCTTCTTCTTATTTCATTGTCTCTGAGGAACTAGTCATACGTGAATATTTACAGAGTTGTATCATCTTTAATGAGGAATGAGTCTCTGCGAGGCAAAGAAACAACATGAATTAGACAGGGACAAGCACGGGAAGAAATCTAAAGCTACTAGAAGTTTTAAATTGAGAATATAAATCTCTCAGTCTGTACAACTATGTATCAAAAGTATATGTCGTACAATATGAAAGTCAGCTCATCATTAGATCTGTATTATACAAAGAAGCACAAATTTATTTTTGCACAAACCATGGAGTATTGGATCTTATGTTTACAGATCACCAGAACTGAAAAATGTCTGCTTCAATTATTTCTCTGATATTTTCTGCAGATATTTCATAACCCCTAAATGTCACTTATTAAAATGCAATTACATCACCTCTTTGCCAACATCAACATTAGTGCTTATCAGCATTCCATTTTCTGTCCTGCTCCAATCCTTTTTTCTTTCACTTTACTTTCTCTCTCTTATTCCTTATTGACCAAGACCACAATAGTTCCCTGCACATTCATACCAACTTAACTTCAGCTGCAATGTTACTCTGTGAATGAGAGTGGCAGAAGTGCTGGCACACAGCTCCTCTCTGGGGCTGGAACTTCTGGCAAGGACTGGAATACATAAGGGTGAGAGCAGAACTCCTAATTGCTCCTACTAAATCACTCAAACCCAGCTGTCAAAGTCCCCAAATTCTCTGGTATGTCTCCAAAATACTAGTCCAGATTTTGGAAGCAGAAGAGCCAAATGACCATGACAGCCAAAGGAAGCTTCTCTTCATAGTTGTTTGTTCAAACACTGAGACCATGACTGCTACAAGCATAAAGGACAGCTCTGAGCTAACCCTGGTACCTTTACAGGACAGGGCACTAAAAAGCCTGAATGCCACCATCCACTGAGACTGTTCTCGCTGCCTGCCTGAAAAGCAGAGCAAGTTCCTAAAAACGTGTGGTTTTGGAAAAAGAAAACAGCCCTGGTGTACCAGGAAACATGGCTGTGAACAGCCAACATTTCTTAGTGGTGAAGTGTTCCAGTGTGCATTGGGGAGGCAGGGGAAGGGAAAATGGAGGGGAACGGATCTATAGGAATTGTTACAGTGTTTTTCCTGACTCTGCACAAGTTTTAGATTGCCCTCACTGCCCTCTCCTCACACACCCTTTGGGACAGACAACATTGACTACACTGCTTGAGAAACAAGTCACGTAGAGACCTGCAGGCTGGTAGATGTCATGTGAAAGGGAAGAAAACTTCCATGTCTGTAGGAAAGGGAAAGATATCAAAAATTTCAGGAGATAGGCTCATCCCAAATAACTGCTTTGTCAGTACAAACACCTTTGAACTTCTGCACAGTAGAAAAAAGATATTTCAAACAATAGGAATTGGCTTAGCTTTCAGTATAGGCAGTTCCTTTACATCTCAGAAGAATATTCTCATTTAAACAACTTCTAAAGATTTGTAAATTTTGTCACAGACACAGTAGGTATAGACAAACTACATCATTAAGACATTTTTATTCTGCAATAAAATCTGAGTATTTGATAAGAATTAGAACATATTCTACAGCTGATGGACTATGTAGAAACTTGTCAGTGTTACTCCAATGCATCTCTAATGCAGAAATACTTCTTAAAATATTCAAAAACAACATTAAACCATGTCACATCAGTAACAAAAGCTTTTATAATAGACTAATTTCCCAAGAGTTTATGAATAGATGTTTGTATAGAAGTTCCAACTCCCAGGTCTGCCTCCTAGCAGTCAGAAAAAAATGTGAAGTTAAGCTACTCATACTTAATGTACTCAAATGTTCAGAAAAAGAAGCAGAAAATATGGAGAGCATGAACTGGATACTGGAGATGCTGATGCACTGTGAGAATGGGAAAAGCTATTTTCAGGGCAGGTGAAGTGCAAGAGGACACTTGGACCAGCTGCTCTACACTTACAACCTGTAAGCAATCTTACTCATACCTGCCTAAATACTTGTGGATGTTTATTTTTCCTCCACAGTAGTAGCCAGTTTTATTGAATGGAGACAGATCATCTTCCAAGTACCTAAAAAAAAATACGTCAATAAAAAATTTAATGTCTGCTCTTGTGCTGCAGTTATAACATGGTGATACTGACTTCATACCTTAAGAAAAGAAAAGCCTTAACAGTTTATGTTCTTAAGAAGCTGTTAATCAAAGATCTAGCTTCCATCAGCACAAAGCTAGCATTTGCTAACATTTTAGAAAGTATAAACTACTTCAAAAGATTTGATTCAGTCAAGCACTCATATGTGAAATCCCAATTCCTTGGTACCACCAAACTGTACAAACACATTTCTTTCCACCAATTCCTAAATATGACTAAAAGCAGAAGATACACATCTAGATGCCTAAAAGCCCCTTTGAAAAACTGAAAACAATAATAGGAACCTTTCTGCAGGGACTGTTACATGTACTAGAGTATAAATATTTGACAGATTTTTAATTTTTTTTTAGAATGTTATTCAATTTTAGAGTAACTTGTTTTTCAAGTACTGCAGTTGTTTTGATTTAACAGGGTACCACTTTATGCGTTTAACCTTATTCTCTGTAGCCTCAATGTCCATTTCTAAAAGGAGAGATTTGCAGGAGAATTATTAAAAAGTTTTGGTTTCTGTCTTGTGGATAAAAAATTTATTTGGTCATACAGTATTACTAGATCATTTTCCCCATACATACACCTGTGTGCCTGCACACAGACCCAAACATTTAAGTTTTTTTAAAGGTCCATTTATCCATCAAGCTTGCTGTAGCTGCAGATGCCTCTCAGAGAACCATAAATAACCTGATAACCAAACCAGTATCATCAGGAGCTTCCTCTCACAACAGCATGATCAACATAAAAGATTAGAAGTAGACTTAATCTTTCCTTCTTCTGATATTTTTTCATATAATTCTAAGATACCTGTTTCTCTTTCCTGGATGTAGCTCAGGAGATGAGCAAAGCTACAGGAGCTCTAAAATACTAGAAGAGGGTAACTACTAAAACACAAGTTCTCCCCCTTGTGCACAAATACCTTGTTTTTAATTATTTTAAGAGCTTAAGCCCACAGCTTATGAAATTGTTGCTCTGAGAAGATCCCAGATCTCTGACACATAGAAGTATGTGCTGTTATTCAAGGATGCTATAAAAATTCAAGGCAGAGTTTAAATCCTGAAAATATAAAATAAACCATACATCCACACAGCAATTCCCATGCATATTCATAAAGAGAGGCTTAAAGATCAACCATCATTAGGTTCTCCTATGTTTACTTTTGCTAATCAGCTCTGATTGGTGGTAAGATATAAAGTGAATTCACCAGAAGTGAAGCCACAGAATAGGATGCCATGAAAAGGCAGCAATCCAGAATTGTCTAAGAATTAGGCCTCTAAAGAATATCTCAGAAATTATGCTACTCCTTGAAGTATAATTCTCCTTCTCCCAGAATTTGTTCATGGGCAAACTGAGGAAACAAGCCTTGTGTCAAGGAGCACCAAGGTAATAAGGAACAGATTCTCTGACTTGATGTTCCTGTTCTGTGAATAAGCAAAGCATGAATACTTTGAGCTTTTCTGATCTGGTATACTTCTATGGCTTTGTACTCATTGCAAGGGTTTTAATTAAAAGAGAAACCAATTATATCTAGCCCTTTGCCTACATTATCATTAACCTGCTTTCATTACAAATTAAAGGCACTGAAGCAGAATTTTATTTTTTTAATGATGCTATTAATTTAATTCTCTTGGATCTTTTACCTTTCTTGCACAGATTAGTTGCCTGCATTACTTTTAGCATCATCTCTCCTGAGAGGTGATCCATTAGGTGAGTTATTTTAATAATGCTCGAGTGTGAACTTTCTGTTAAAGCTTCTGCAGCACTGACAATCCCTACTGCAAGAGAAAAAGCTGGCACATCTAGATCTGGAATGGTGTTCAAAAGGATGCTATCAACTTAAAATTCATACTGAGCCACAACCAGGAAGTATGAATTTCTCTCTACTTAAACCAGAAGTAGAGACAGAAAAAGAAAAAGCAGAGAAGAAATGAGAAGAGTACAGGGGAGGAAGGAGCACGCAAGAATAAATGATGACTTGAATGGAGATGAGCTGAGAACAGGTGGTGAGAACAACAAAATGGAACATAAGGCAGCAGGATTGTGGAAAATACTGAAGAAAATTGGGGGGAAAAAAAACCCAAACCACAAAACAAAACAGGGAGAAACTGAAATATGGAAACACAAGACAAAGCTAAAAAATATTTCCTTGTATTGGCTATTTGTTGTAAGGGTATTTTAATCAAAATTAGTGGAGGAAAGATGCATATCTGTGTCCTGTGGTCTGAGACTTGATGTACATGCACTGACCTACCTAAGGAATAAAGCTCTATACACATTAATATAGAAAAGCAAAGCTTGTCCTATGGGGTGTCTCAATACCCTTTCCTATTGATTAGTACTGTCACCACAGTGTTGAAAAGCTAAGGGGTTTTTTTTGTTCTAATTTGTCCCACAGAATATTGCCATGGCTGTTGGATCAAAGCTATTTCAAAACTCAGTCCCAGTTTCTTTCACTTCGGGCTCTTGGAAGAAAATATGTACACTTGCAGCACTCCAAGTCCTAAAGTAATTCAGCTGCAATATGAAAAACAGAATGAAGTATTCATATAATTTAAATGCAGCAAAGTTTCCATTACAATTCATTTTTGTTCACATAGGTTGAACCTGGACTTGATTTTGGAGGTCTTTTCCAACCTTACTCTGATTCTATATTCTGAAATCACCACCCTTTAGAAATTCCAGGACACTGGGTGTATTTACACTATCAAGCAGTGAGATGCAAATGAGGGCTGGGGGGGTTGATATCCTGCACTCCATTATGGTTCCAGGACCCCATGTCCACCCTGTACCTTTGCACACAATGAAGTTCATGCCACTTGCCCATCCCAGGCTCACACTTCCAGGAGGAAAAAAAACACACTACACTTTAGTGCATACAGCAATGCAAATTGATACCCAAAAGAACTCTGAGCCCACATCACTCCCCCAGTGACCTGTAGTTGTTCTCCCAGCTCTCAGTATCATGGACAGTGCCATCAAAAAGGCAGAGGCTGTGCCATTTTGACAGCATGCCCAGCACAACTCTCAGCCTGATTTCTGTGAAGAGAGGTGGCACATGTCAGTCTGAGTGACAAGTCATGTAAAATTTTGAATATTGCTCTGACACCAATCCCTTCTATGAGGTTTAACAAATGACTGCTTTGGCTTTCTCCTGGTAAAAGGTGAGAAATTATTCCACAAGAAGGAATACAAGCCAGTAGAAAGTACATGCTAGAGTAATGACATTAATTCTGAAGATACATCTTCAGAAAATGGCAACTTTCTTCTTAGTTCTATATTATGTCACACACTCAGAAGTCTTTCTGTATGCAGAAGGACCCATGGACATCACTGGAGTATTTTCTTGTAGCAGCAAAAACTGTACAACAACCACGTAGAGCATAAAGCAGGATAAACGTCCAGTAGGATTACACTAGCAGTTGTAACAAATCAGGACACATAAGCCAGTAAGAAGTAAAAGCTTCTGAGGGTCATGCAAGTCTCAAAGTTGAGAAAAGTCCTGTCAAGTCTAAGCACTGCTGTCACGCATTCTGAAGATTCCCTAGGAACTGGGCTGGTTTCCTGAGTCTCTACTTTTCAGTGCATATTACAAGATACTGACTCAGGTCAGCTACCTTCTTCATTTTCCCTCTGAAACTACTAAGGATGTGCCAGTGGCTACAAAATGTTTCTTAAAAGACTTAAATTCCTGGTCAAATATTAAGCTTCATTCATTTTCTTCCTGTGGTCCTTCTCAAAAGAGGATTCTGGAAAAAATCTTTTGGGAAACATGATAAAGAATATGCAAGCATGAACAGAGTTGATAAATCATTTATGAAAAAAGTGAAGCAATAATGTTCCCAAGTGTGAATGCAAGAAGCATTTCGATTAACATATGAAGCATAATAAATACAATCCATTTTAAAACAGACAATTAGACAACTGCCATACCCAAGCAAGTGGGAAGATGTGAATTATGACTGGTAGAAAGCAAGCAACCCAGTGGTTATTCAGCTAGTTTTCTTAGGAGGGAAATTTCTCAGTGAGAAAATAGAAGTCTGCCTACCTAATATGATACAAGTCAATATGAATTCAAGATTCTTGAGAAACAGCCTCAAAGTTACTGACAAAAACCACATGCTTTATTAAATAATGAACCATGGACTTGTCTCCTTTCATCAGATGAGCAGACTGATGTTCATATACTAATACTGTCCACCCAGAGCAATCCAGAGACATGGATTACTATTTTTATTTTCAGAATTCCCTTTACTAATAAAGCATTTTTTCCACAGGGAGTAAACAGAGTAATGACAGTGCCACAGGAAGCTCATTCTGAAGAAGCTCAGGCCTTGCAGTCCCAGAGGGCAAGTTTCAGCACACTTGTACAAATTTTAACAATCCTGCCAGTTCACTCACTCCAGCCCGTGATGTCAGGAGGTCAGGTCAACTCCAGCTAAAAGAACTGGCCTTTAAAAAGTTTTGGCTGCTTTCAAAGGCAAAATGAAGCTTTTAGAGTTAAAAATTTATCACAGAAATTGATGTGTGGTTACCATCTTTGAAACTTCTTATGCTTAGAGGACATTCAGGAGTTAATTGATTGCACACTCACCATCAGTTCTGGTCACAACTAATGAAAGGCTTCATATTATAACACTGGCAGTACACAGTAACAGCTGCCTGATTTCTATGGATGGTGTCACAGGAATGGAACCCTTCCTGTCTTTAAATATCTACTAAATGGTGATTTTTACGGAACATAAATTCTTTGTTGGGTATTTTAGTTTTGCATGTTTAAGAATCATTAATATTCACTGAACTTTACACAATTAGTCATGACATTGTATAATCAGTTGCCCTTTGCCTTACCCCCTGACAGCCATTCTGATCTTGCACACATTAAAACATTCAAATAAACCACAAGTGTATGCACAAACTTTAAGCAATGAAAGGGATTTTGTTCAACTTTCAGTCCTTTGTGAGTAAAACTAGTTAACTCAACTAGCAAAAGAACAGGAACCCAATGACAACTTAGAACTGGGATAAGTACTTTGCTAATGTATTCAAATTCTGAGGTTTGAGAGCAAAAAGCCTGATCAAGGTCTGTTTAAACCAATAAGAGATTGCCTTCTTTCTTTAGAAGCATTTTAGGTCTGGCTCTGTGTTCTCTGTGTAGAATGAAAAAGTCCTTTTCTTAGTTTAAAAAAGAAAACGCTGTCTCTAAGCAGAAAAAAATGGAGCAGTCCTCTACATTTACCAATGAGAATTAACTTGATAGAAAAACATTTATGATTTTACTAACAAAGCAATAAAACAAGACAACTTTAAATTAGCAATATTCAAGCAGTAGTAGGCCTAAAAATGCTTCTACATTTTTTTCCTGTAAGGTGCATATCTGTACTGTACAAGCACAAGGTCTGTAGTCTGTTTGAGTTATTCAAAATTGACTGAGCCTCCTTTCAGAAGGAACCTCTCAGGAACCTGACAGAAAATCAGGGAGAAGATCACACAAACAGAATTGACCTCTTTACTGCTTACAATTCATAACTTAGCTACAGTGTCAAATAGCAAATCAGACTTAAATAATGTTCTTCTTATGAGGATTAAGCAAATGAGTAAGTATAATTAGTAAAACTATAATTATCAGCTCAATGTTCCCATTACAGCAATAAAGAGAGAGTGCCTGTAGAATAAATTCCAGTTTCCTTCCTTCCAGGTTAACCAACCACTGGAAAAAAAGAAAAAAAAAAAGAGAAAACCATGAATAATTCAAGATTTTACTTGCTTTATGTAAAAAAGGGCCCTGCATGTAAATTCAGATGAATCCCTCATTCACTGAAAAACCAACTCATTTCCTTTCAGAATAGCAAATGGAGAAAATAATTTCCTTTTAGATGACTGCACTGTATGCCTATTTCACATCCTGTTGAACACACAGTGAAGAATTAACCGGCATAAACATCTCAGCCCCTTACCCTGAAGGTGTGAACAGTGCTGTT